TTTGATACCTAAAGGGGTCCTAAAATTCTAAATCAAATAGCTAAATTATCCTTTGTATGACCATTGTAAATATTTCACAAATAAATCAGACAACATTTTCTCTTAAAATATAGTATTGTTTTGAAGATCAAATGCAGCTTCAGTTGACTGAGCTCTTGATAATGGGGCAGTTATACACAAAATACTCCATATGTACATACATTTTTACATTGTTTGTTGATTAGCAGAGTATGGAAATCCCTTTTTCCAGTATAAGTGAGGAGTAGCTGTGTAATATGTGGGGAAATAATCTGTGAATTTTAGAGATCAAATGTTTTGTTTTTTTGTGTATCATTGGTATGCTTAGAATCTTAGTGAGAAAATCAGGAATTTGTCTTCAACTTTGTCTACAACGGTACGGTTGACTCCATAATGTTAATCATGGGCACAATCTGTTGTATGGAAATATACTGTACTCTCACCACAATCATGTGCACCTTGAACATTTGAGTACAATAATGTTTTATGAAAAATCGTATCTAAAATATAAAATAATGATTACTCATTAATTGTTCTGACTTTTGTGAATTAAATCTTTGTTTGCACATTAGTGTCCATTATGCAAAGTGTTACTGGATGCCCTTTTCTTTTGTCATCTGACGTTAAGACTGGAACTCAACTGACAACTTAAGTTTGGAAATGTTTTTATATTAATAAAGTCTGCTATTTTCATGTCCATTTAGAGTTTTAGTTTGTTACTGATGCATGTTGCTAGCCTGGAAATCCAGACTGAATTAATCTTTGTTTCACGTTTGTTTCTCTCCACTATCAGCCTGGCATTCAGGTCATCCCGAACATTGGCCTGGTTAGAAAACAACAAGGAAAGTCGAAATGATAAATATTCTGTAATAACATTTTCTTTAGAATGCAGCATTCATTTTTTTATAATTGACTATGGTAGTTGAAATAAACTTCAGAGAATTATAATTAAATCAATTGTTTTTGCTACAAATAAAATACAGATACCTTATTTACATAAGTATTCAGACCCTTTGCTATGAGTCTCGAAATTGAGCTCAGGTGCATCCTGTTTACATTGATCATTCTTGAGATGTTTCTACAACTTGATTGGAGTCCACCAGTGGTAAATTCAATAGATTGGACATGATTTGGAAAGGCACAAACCTGTCTATACAGTGGGGGAAAAAAGTATTTAGTCAGCCACCAATTGTGCAAGTTCTCCCACTTAAAAAGATGAGAGAGGCCTGTAATTTTCATCATAGGTACACGTCAACTATGACAGACAAAATAAGAAAAAAAAATCAAGAAAATCACATTGTAGGATTTTTAATGAATTTATTTGCAAATTATGGTGGAAAATAAGTATTTGGTCAATAACAAAAGTTTCTCAATACTTTGTTATATACCCTTTGTTGGCAATGACACAGGTCAAACGTTTTCACACACTGTTGCTGGTATTTTGGCCCATTCCTCCATGCAGATCTCCTCTAGAGCAGTGATGTTTTGGGGCTGTCGCTGGGCAACACAGACTTTCAACTCCCTCCAAAGATATTCTATGGGGTTGAGATCTGGAGACTGGCTAGGCCACTCCAGGACCTTGAAATGCTTCTTACGAAGCCACTCCTTCGTTGCCCGGCGGTGTGTTTGGGATCATTGTCATGCTGAAAGACCCAGCCACATTTCATCTTCAATGCCCTTGCTGATGGAAGGAGGTTTTCACTCAAAATCTCACGATACATGGCCCCATTCATTCTTTCCTTTACACGGATCAGTCGTCCTGGTCCCTTTGCAGAAAAACAGCCCCAAAGCATGAAGATTCCACCCCCATGCTTCACAGTAGGTATGGTGTTCTTTGGATGCAACTCAGCATTCTTTGTCCTCCAAACACGACGAGTTGAGTTTTTACCAAAAAATTATATTTTGGTTTCATCTGACCATATGACATTCTCCCAATCCTCTTCTGGATCATCCAAATGCACTCTAGCAAACTTCAGACGGGCCTGGACATGTACTGGCTTAAGCAGGGGGACACGTCTGGCACTGCAGGATTTGAGTCCCTGGCGGCGTAGTGTGTTACTGATGGTAGGCTTTGTTACTTTGGTCCCAGCTCTCTGCAGGTCATTCACTAGGTCCCCCCATGTGGTTCTGGGATTTTTGCTCACCGTTCTTGTGATCATTTTGACCCCACGGGGTGAGATCTTGCGTGGAGCCCCAGATCGAGGGAGATTATCAGTGGTCTTGTATGTCTTCCATTTCCTAATAATTGCTCCCATAGTTGATTTCTTCAAACCAAGCTGCTTACCTATTGCAGATTCAGTCTTCCCAGCCTGGTGCAGGTCTACAATTATGTTTCTGGTGTCCTTTGACAGCTCTTTGGTCTTGGCCATAGTGGAGTTTGGAGTGTGACTGTTTGAGGTTGTGGACAGGTGTCTTTTATACTGATAACAAGTTCAAACAGGTGCCATTAATACAGGTAACGAGTGGAGGACAGAGGAGCCTCTTAAAGAAGAAGTTACAGGTCTGTGAGAGCCAGAAATCTTGCTTGTTTGTAGGTGACCAAATACTTATTTTCCACCATAATTTGCAAATAAATTCATAAAAAATCCTACAACGTGATTTTCTGGATTTTTTTCTTCTCAATTTGTCTGTCATAGTTGACGTGTACCTATGATGAAAATTACAGGCCTCTCTCGTCTTTTTAAGTGGGAGAACTTGCACAATTGGTGGCTGACTAAATACTTTTTTCCCCCACTGTATAAGGTCCCACAGTTGACAGTGCATGTCAGAGCAAAACCCAAGCCATGAGGTCGAAGGAATTGTCCGTAGAGCTCCGAGACAGGATTGTGTCGAGGCACAGATCAGGGGAAGGGTACCAAAAACTTTCTGCAGCATTGAAAGTCCCCAAGAACACAGTGGCCATCATTCTTAAATGGAATAAGTTTTGAACCACCAAGACTCTTCCTAGAGCTGGCCGCCCGGCCAAACTGAGCAATCGAAATATGCCAGACAAGGTGGGACCTTTTTGTGTCTGTAAAATGTATTATGTGAGAAATGGTGGTGGAAACGCTTTTATGCACAAATTTTGATATAACCATATGAATAACCAACAGGCACAAACAAGGCGCATTCCTCTGCCCAGGCCTTGCTGCCGCCTGGCAGATCTGGATAGGTATTTTATATATCAGCTATACACATACACTACACTCTACATTGTAGAATAATAGTGAAGATATCAAAACTATGAAATAACACATATGGAATCACATAGTAACCAAAAAAGTGTTAAACAAATCAAAATATATTTTATATTTGAGATTCTTCAAATAGCCACCCTTTGTCATGATGACAGCTTTTCACACTCTTTGCATTCTCTCAACCAGCTTCACCTGGAATGCTTTTCCAACGGTCTTGAAGGACTTCCCACATATGCTGAGCACTTGTTAGCTGCTTTTCCTTCACTCTGCCTTCCGTCTCATCCCAAACCATCTCAATTGGTTTGAGGTCGGGGGATTGTGGAGGCCAGGTCATCTGATGCAGCACTCCATCACTCTCCTTCTTGGTAAAATAGCCCTTACACAGCTTGGAGGTGTGTTGGGTCATTGTCCTGTTAAAAAAAAATGATAGTCCCACTAAGCCCAAACCAGATGGGATGGCGTATCACTGCAGAATGCTGTGGTAGCCATGCTGGTTAAGTGTGCCTTGAATTCTAAATAAATCACAGACAGTGTCACCAGCAAAGCACCATCACACCTCCTCCATGCTTTACGGTGGGAAATACACATGCGGAGATCATCCGTTCACCCACACCGCATCTCACAAAGCCACGTTGACTCCAGACCAAAGGACAAATTTCCACCGGTCTAATGTCCATTGCTCGTGTTTCTTGGCCCAAGCAAGTCTCTTCTTCTTCTTATTGGTGTCCTTTAGTAGTGGTTTCTTTGCAGCAATTCGACCATGAAGGCCTGATTCACACAGTCTCCTCTGAACAGTTGATGTTGAGATGTGTCTGTTACTTGAACTCTGTGAAGCATTTATTTGGGCTGCAATTTCTGAGGCTGGTAACTCTAATGAACTTATCCTCTGCAGCAGAGGTAACTCTGGGTCTTCCATTCCTGTGACGGTCCTCATGAGAGCCAGTTTCATCATAGCGCTTGATGGTTTTTGCGACTGCACTTGAAGAAACTTTAAAAGTTCTTGACATTTTCCGTATTGACTGACCTTCATGTCTTAAAGTAATGATAGGGCTATCTTCTGTATACCACCCCTACCTTGTCACAACACAACTGTTTGGCTCAAATGCATTAAGAAGGAAAGAAAATCCACAAATGAACTTCTAAGAAGACACACCTGTTAATTGAAATGCATTCCAGGTGAATACCTCATGATGCTGGTTGAGAAAATGCCAAGAGTGTGCAAAGCTGTCATCAAGGCAAAGGGTGGCTATTTAAAGAATCTCAAATATAAAATATATTTTGATTTGTTAAACACGTTTTTGGTTACTACTTTATTCCATATGTGTTATTTCATAGTTTTGATGTCTTCACTATTATTCTACAATGTAGAAAATAGTTTAAAAAATAAAGGAAAACCCTGGAATGAGTAGGTGTGTCCAAACTTTTGACTGGTACTATATAAATTAGCACAAAATTTTTTTTTCTCCCTTTGTTATTATGGGTAAATGTGATATTTCCGTTTTTATTTGTAATACATTTGCAAAGATTTCTAAAAACGTGTTTTCGCTTTGTCATCATGGGGTATTGTGTGTAGATTGATGAGGAAAAAAAACAATTAAATTCTAAAATTGATAAGGCTGTAACATAACAAAATGTGGAAAAAGTCAAGGGGTCTGAATACTTTCTGAATGCACTGTAAGCTCTCCCCTTCCTTTTATTCAAAACAGCCTAAACCTGCAATCAACAATCCAACCCCAATACAGTACATACTATTCAACTGTAACCATAAACTGCTTCGCTTCACATAGCAGTGGTTCGTGGACCCTACTCAGCCACAGGTTTAGACTTGCTCTTCTTCTTTTCTTTGGCTTTGGGCTCCTCTGACTCCGGGTCCCCTAGGGGAGGGGAAGGGGCATTCTCCACATCATGCTCTTCATCTGGGGGTAACGAGGTGGAGGTGGACTTGGGTGGAGCCTTAGAGCCTTAGGGATGAGATAGAGGTATTTTACTCTTACAACATCTGACACGCATTCCCGTGTAATCCTATTGCATGGAAACTAAAGACTTACTACTTCATGTCACTTCGTGCAGTGGTAGACAACTGTTAAAAAGGTAGGATCATTTGCAATCTGTATTTGACGGCGCTTGTAACGCCAAGGTAGTGGGTTCGATCCCCGGGACTACCCATACACAAGAAATGTATGCACGCATGACTGTAAGTCGCTTTGGATAAAAGCGTCTGCTAAATGGCATTTTATTATTATTATTATTATCAAAGGTGCAAAAAAATCTAGTAAGGTTTGGTGTCTGGATATGGTTGATCCAGACCAGCCTACTGCAGAACCCTCTATTTAGAAAATATGATTTGGAATTACAACTAGAATCCAAAGACTCATTATAAATGAATGGGTGAACGAAAACACTCAGAGGCAGCAACATGGCGTCCATCTCTAAATTTGCCCTCCGCTTTCACTGCCACACACACACACACCTGCAGCTAGCTGGATGCTTTTGCTGGCAGCTGAAGACATGGCCTGCCCAAGGGCCTGGTTGGTGCCCAGGGGCTGCAGGGACGTGGTCTTGGAGCGCTGCCCGACTTTGGAGTCCTTACCTGGCTTGGTCCACACCGAGGTCTCTCCCATCTGGAGAGCAGATGCCAACTTCTGTGCCATCTCAATGAGCTGAGACAAAAAGGGTACAGACCGCTCAACATTAGGGATATGTGCTAGACTGGGAGCCAGCTTGAAGTGTTCAAGAAAGGAGCCCTGCTTCAGTATCAGAACATGGAGAAGACGGTCAACACACTAACATGGACTTTTTATGATGTGATTGTGGATTCATCAGGAGTCAACTGCACTGATATGTTTTTTTCCAGCTTTTTGAGTACCAATTTTGCATTGTGGGCAACATGTTACATAACATAATTACTGCAGTGCAGATTGCACTGGTTACAGTTTATACTTGAGGCTTAGACTCGAGAAGATTAGGTATATGATGTATTAGCATAGTTAACTCTTAAAGGGACAATCCGCAGTTGAAACAATAACAAAATGGTTACCCCGCCTCGGTATTGGTAAATTCATAGAGCTATTGATGCAAGGAGTGACATTCCAAGATATAAAAATTATCATATTTTTAAGGCTATACAGTGTTTGTTTACATTTACAATGTTTAGGGGGAAAACAAGCTTATATTCTGGGTTTTAATGAGATACGACAGTTGAACTAAGCTCATGAGCAGGGGTGAAAGTAAGACTGGAAGGTCCGGTACGGAGTACCGGCTAAATAAATGGTGGGGGTACGCCGTACCGGTAAAACATGAGCCTATCACAATATTTTTTTTAAAAGATGGCAAGAAAACTATGCTATTACACCCTCATTTATTATGACTGCCTGTCAGAAGCATAAACAATATGGTAGGCCTATACACTCCAAAATGCGGTGTGGTTCGACGTGAACACAAACATTTGCCAAAGCAGAGATAACTGGTCGGGACCGAGATGCACACGGACAACAGTGGACGCATCAATCAATCGCCGAATGTCATTACACTTTTTGGTGTTTTAATAGACGTCTCTTTCCATTAATCAAATGGCGTGTGCACAGTGCACTGTTGTAGATGCTGGAATTATTTTACAGTGGACGAACATGAGCAGGTAGCCTACTTTATGAAGTGATTTGTTTGACAATCAGATGAAAACATCATTCCACATTAAAAGGTCAAACATTTTTACAGTTAAATGACATGTCTTTACTCTTAGGTGTACCGCGAAGAAACAATGGGTCTTTCTCAATAAGCATACTACCGTGCTCCACACTCTCATGCTCCGAGTGCATTCTCAGAGGACGTTCTCTTGAATACGTTCTTGTGAGGAAGAGAGTGTAGAGAACACATAAAACATTACATTTGAGAAGCACTCGCACTCGCACTCCCCCTACTGTATTACCTCACGCTTCACCTCCCCATTAACTGAACCTTCATCCAGCCAGGACAATGGTAACAATAGAGATGAAACAAGATATACACAAAGCAAACGTTTTACTTCATAATTATCAGCTAGCTATATGCGAATCATAATAATCTAGCTAGTCAGCTAGTTAAACAGGCATAAATGACCTAAAACTAATGTTATGCAAGGTAGATGTCAATTATTTGTGGGTAGCTACTAGTTGGCTGCCAATTCTTTGTGGCTATCTACATTTACATTTACATTTTAGTCATTTAGCAGACGCTCTTATCCAGAGCGACTTACAGGAGCAATTAGGGTTAAGTGCCTTGCTCAAGGGCACATTAACGTCATTTAGCAGACGCTCTTAGCCAGAGCGACTCACAAATTGGTGCGTTCACCCTATAGCCAGTGGGATAACCACTTCTAGCTAACAGTAGTAGCTAACCAGTTATGCCTATTGACTTACTATGGGCATACCCATTCACTGAACCTTCTTCCAGCCAGGACAAGGGCAATAGACGAAACAAGATATACACAAAGAAAACATTTTACTTCAAAACTATCAGCTATCTATATCTGAATCATAATAATCTAGCTAAACAGATAGTTTAACAGGCAAAAGTTACCTAAAACTAATGTTATGCAAGGTAGATTTCAATTATTTGTGGGTAGCTAGCTGCCAAGTATTTGTGTGTATCTAGATAGCTAACAGTAGTAGCTAGCCAGATAGCCCTATTGACTTACTATTGGCTTGCGATCTTCACTACAGTGGGAATTGTAGGCAGGTAAACATGCCAAAATTAACCCAGTATGTATTTATTAACGTATCAAGATAAAATATTGTAGCCAGGCAACATATGAGATGTGAATGGGCATCATTTTATTCCGAAGTCTGAGTTTATTTTCTCTCGCTTCAGCTAAAATAATAGCCGCCATTGATTTCAAGAAATGGTTGGGTCATATTTATGTGCATACTTTCCATTGAAACTTGCATCGATGCATGCTTCAAAATATGTACAAATGGAGTACACATCCGAGAAGTGCCCTCCATGCTCTGTTTCGCATACTTTGATTTGGACTCATACTCCGACCCTCCCGTGCTCCAATTTGCGTGCTCGGAGCACGGTAGTATGCATTTTGAGAAAATCCTATATCTACTTTCACCCTTGCTGATGAGGCATGTATAAGTTATATTCTTCAAGGATCAATGAGTATACAGTCTATGATTAATTTAGAAATCAAAAAATTGATTTAGCAACTGCGGATTGCCCCTTTTAAAGAGTCTATGAGTAATGGTACCTCAAAACACAGACACGTACGCATGCAGGTTCACACACACACACCTCTGGGTCAAATTCTGCATTATGGCTGCTTTCCATCACTTTCCTCTCCATCTCCAGGTACTGATCTGTTGCTCCTTTTTTGTCTCCTTGATTGTACAACAGGACTGCGAAATTCAGATTGATCAAGGGGTTACACCTGTGAAAGATGGGCGCAGAACAGTATACATTTGAGTTGAAGAAATATTAGATAAAAGATTTTGTAATATTAAAAGGCCTGAAAATGTAGGATTGAGGATGATAGACCATACAAATACAAAACAGTAATTTAACGTACCCCACCCCCACATTCATCTAACAAAACAAAACAATGAGTTCAAGTAAAATACTTACTCATCCAACGACACTGCTTGCTCATATGATCGCTTGGCATTCTCCCCGTCATCCATATTAGTAAGAGCAACTGAAAGAAAATAAAAAAAATCTGATTGTCAATCAGTCATGACCAATAGGCCATGATGACACAACATTATAATGTAGACATTGCTTTAAACCACAAGAAAGTACTTGTCCACAAGAAATTCAGTAAGTTGGAATGGACATTCCAATGCACCTGGGGGGAAATAGAAGAAGGGAAACACATCATGCAGTGCCTGCTTGATGCCAAGTCCACAAAGTTAAAACTACAATCTGGGATTTAACAGGCGAGATTTTAAAAATTTATAGAAGCCAAGAAACTAGCTAAACAGGGCAAAGAAATAATGTGTTGAAAGACACTGAAGTGGAGATAGCAGGCATAAGGAAAAACACGAGGTACATTTGTGAAACTATAGTATGACTGACAATGCCCACGGGAGCATTCAAAATCATCCCTGTGTGGTGGCACTAAGGGGCAAAGTAGCTTACTACATTTTATAAAGTTACTTTGCCCCTTGGTGCCACGGTACCTCTGCAATTAGTTCTCCTGTACCTGCCAGCAGCATGTAGAGCTCTGCCATCTTTGGCTGCAGGTTGACGGCAGCACTGAGGAAGTGGAAGGCTGAGGCGTACTGCTGCATGGTGAGGTGCACCAGGCCCAGGTTGTACAGGATTTTCCAGTCAAACGGAGACAGGTAGTTGGCCCTCTTTAGACAGCTGATGGCCTGAGGATGTGGAGGAATAGAAGATAAAAAGGCTAGAGAAAGCCTGCATACCCAGTAGCTGGTTATGTCAATAACACAAAGTGAATGGTTTAGATTTGTGGTTTAGATTTGTTGTGATCGTAGTTTCACAAATGCATTTCTATGTGGTACGTATTCGTAGATGTAAAAGTATTTGTGCATTATTTTTGAAAATAATTATGGGACTGACAGAGACAAATATTGGTTATGAGTAATGGTACCTGAAAACACAAACACACACACCTCTGGGTCAAATTCAGTTGGCCAATTGATCTGAGGGAAGTCTCTAGTTCGAAATGAGTTGGAGAGATGGCGTGAAACAGGCAAATTGGAGGTTGTCACCCATAGAATTTCCCTACCGCCACATATTTCTTGTTTCCGAAGAAGCACATGCCAATGTTATTCCAGAGGGGCGAGCTCTCAGGTACAGCATAAGCTGCCACGCGGTACTTATTCATGGCAACATCATAGTCCCCATGCGTCTGCATCATGCTGCCAGCTGCCAGGATGGCCTGAAGAGGGTAAAATACACACACACACACAGACCCACTGCTGCAGTGATATTTAAGTCAGTTGCAAATACAGCATCCAATAGGATAGGGAGTAGTAGGGAGGGCCTCCCCTACCTTAAAGTTGTTGGGGTCATACGTCAGGGCATTCCCAAGGTGCTCAAAGGCTTTCTGATATTTGCCTTGCTGGAGAGGAAATAGACTGATTTAGTTTCAAACTCACTTAAACATGACTTGTCCCATCATGGTTGGAGCGTGATCTGAGGAGGGACTGAAAGGCCTCGACTTACCTGCATGTATAGCAGGCCAAGAGTGGTAAGAAGATCCGTGTTTTCAGGAGAAAACCTGAAATAAGAGGATTTTTTATTTATTCAACCTTTATTTAACCAGGAAGTCCCATTTAACCAGGTCAGAAGACCTCTTTCCCAATGACATACTGTATGTACGTACATGGCCTATTATACTAGCTACGTGAACTAAGCAAGCTCATGGAAATATCAACTCTAACAAACATTTCCTTGTTTATCTATAAGTAACATTAAAACAACACACAGAAAAACATATACCGTAAAACTTCAATTAATAGCCCGGGCATTTATTTGCTTAAATCACTGAACACAACAGGTGCTTATTAGAGACAGGCTTCTATACTGAACAAAAATATAAACGCAACATGCAACAATTTCAAAGATTTTACTGAGTTACAGTTCATAAAAGGAAATCAGTCAATTGAAATAAATTCATTAGGCCCTAATCTATGGATTTCACTTGACTAGGCAGGGGTGCAGCCATGGGTGAGCCTGGGAGGGCATAGGCCCACCCACAAAAGGGCTTTATTACAGACAGAAATACTCCTCAGCAGCACCCCCCTCCTCACACGATCCCGCAGGTGAAGAAGCCGGATGCGGAGGTCCTGGGCTGTGGTCTGTAGTTGTGAGGACGGTTGGACATACTGCCAAATTCTCTAAAACAATGTTAGAGGCGGCTTATGGTAGAGAAATGAACATTCAATTATTTGGCAACAGCTCTGGTGGACATTCCTGCAGTCAGCATGCCAATTGCACAAACTTGAGACATCTGTGGCATTGTGTTGTGTGACAAAACTGCACATTTTAGAGTGGCCTTTTATTGTCCCCAGCACAAGGTGCACCTGTGTAATGATCATGCTATTTAATCAGCTTCTTGATATGCCATACCCGTCAGGTGGATGGATTATCTTGGCAAAGGAGAAATGCTCACGAACAGTGAGGTAAACAAATTCCTGCACAACATTTGAGAGAAATACGTTTTTTTGTGCGCATGGAACATTTCTGGGACTTTTTATTTCAGCTGATGAAACATGGGACCAACACTTTACATGTTGCGTTTATATTTGCTCATTTGCATAGTTAATTATTTAATTCCAGCATTCACTTTCAGCATTTAAACACATTTCTTCATTTCCTGCACTAATGTGTTATCATTTCCACACAGTAGCAAGGTTTCCATCCAATCAGCGACAGATTTTCATGCGATATTCTAAAATCCATTTAAAGAAAATATGCGCATTTTCCCACCAGTGGTGTGTTTCCACCAAACAGACTTGCTGCGGATGAAAGAGTGTGTGATGACGTAGTGCACACAAAATGTAGTTTTTCGCTTAAAAATAAACATCTAAAGTTCAATGTGTTTCCAATCGCATGTTCAAATCTACCGATAGTTTTGACACAAAAAACGTTGTGTTAAATAGTAAATGAGCCTACTCTGGTCTTGGCATGTGCGTTCTAGCCAACAGCTCGCAGATACAGTGCGGGTAGGCTGTGAGATTATTATGGATATGAGCGAGAATATTTTTCATTTGTCAAACTGCAGCCAAGCATCGATCATCATGTCACCAGAATAAGACCCTCGATATTTATTGGAAAGGAGCATCAAGATCACCGTCACTTTCACCACCCTGTGAAGTTCATCATAATTTATTTAATCTGTGGCCTAATAAACTGGGGACATACTCTGAATTCATATCCCGAAATAAAGAAATGATCTCACTACAATACATTTTAATAGAAAGTTAGCAAGAATAGATAAGATCTTGCTACCATGGAAAGGAAAATACCTGTCTATTTGTGGAAAAATCACTCTGATTAACTCTTTAGTCATATCCCAGTTTATCTCTTTGCTTATGGCCCTGCCTACACCCAATGACTTGTTTTTTAAATTATATGAGCAAAAAAATATTCAATTTTATTTGGAACGACAAGCCAGACAAAATTAAACGGCCTATTTATGTAATGAATATGAATTATTAAATATTAAAGCATTAGACCTCTCACTAAAGGCTTCAGTCATACAAAAGTTATACTTAAATCCGAACTGCTTCTCTAGCAGATTAGTAAGAATGTCTCACCCTATGTTCAAGAATGGCCCTTTTCCCTTTATTTAGATTACAACCTCTCACTTATTTGAAAATGAAATAATTTCCAAAATATTGCTATTTTTAAAACAAGCCATAGAAAGTTGGTTGCAATTTCAGTTTAATCCACCAGAAAAGACTGAACAAATAATACAACAAATATTATGGTTAAACTCAAATATACTAATTGATAAACGGTACGGTATAATTTTTGTAAATTATATAATAAATAGGACTGGTGGCATTATGTCACACGTGCAGCTAACAAAAATATATGGAAATGTCTGCTCTACCCAAAATTACAACCAAATAATTGCAGCATTACTGCAAAAAATGGAAGAGGCAAGTGGAAGGGGGAGAAAGTAAGGAACTTGTCTGTCGACCCTGCATTTAAGACCAAAATTGGTTAAAGAAAATTGTGATAAATTAAAAAGTATACCAGTTTCATTTAAGGACCAAAGAAATTGACCGCTGTGCCATATACACTGCATTCGGAAAGTATTCAGACCCCTTTATTTTTTCCACTTTGTTACGTTACAGCCTTATTCTAAAATTGATGAAATAGTTTTTTACCCCTCATGAATCTACACACAATACCCCATAATGACAAAGTAAAAACAGGTTTGTAGAATTTTGTTGCAAATGTATAAAAGATTAAAAACAGAAATATCACATTTACATAAGTATTCAGACCCATTACTCAGTACTTTGTTGAAGCACCTTTGGCAGCGATTACAGCCTTGAGTCTTCTTGGGTATGACGCTACAAGCTTGGCACACCTGTTTTTGGGGTTCAAGTCCAGGCTCTGGCTGGGCCACTCAAGGACATTCAGAGACTTGTCCCAAAGCCACTACTGCGTTGTCTTGCCTGTGTGCTTAGGGTCGTTGTCCTGTTTGAAGGTGAACTTTCGCCCCAGTCTGAGTTCCTGAGTGCTCTGGAGAAGGTTTTCATCAAGGTTCTCTCTGTACTTTGCTCCGTTCATATTTTCCTCGATCCTGACTGGTCTCCCAGTCCCTGCCACTGAAAAACATCCCCACAGCATGATGCTGCCACCACAATGCTTCAGGTTTCCTCCAGACGTGACACTTGGCATTCAGGCCAAAGAGTTCAATCTTGGTTTCATCAGACCAGAGAATCTTGTTTCTCATGGTCTGAGAGTCCTTTAGGTGCCTTTTGGCAAACTCCAAGCGGGCTGTCATGTGCCTTTTACTGAGGAGTGGCTTCCATCTAGCCACTCTACCATAAAGGCCAGACGCTGGGTGCTTTCCCAAGACATAGTGGGAGGACCACACACCATATCATCGCGTGACTCCAAGTTTACTTCGATATGATGTTACTGTATCAATATTTGCGTATAAAGGCATTTCCACCACTATTTCTCGCATAATTAATTTTACTGACACAAAAAGATCCTACCATGTCGAACAAACAAATTACGGCATTTATAAAATTGTACAGCTGTCATAAATTTTTTTAACTGTGGTATGACTTTACTTGCATAAAAATTGTGGATGGAAATCTGGTTAGTGTTAAGTTTATTTTGTCTTAGTATGCCTCTTAAGTACTCCCGAAGTTGTTGACCAGTGGTGTACAGTACTTAAATAAAAATACTTGAAAGTACTACTTAAGTAGTTTTGGGGGGTATCTGTACTTTACTTTACTATTTATATTTTTGACAACTTTTATTTCGCTACATTCCTAAAGAAAATTATATACTTTTTAATCCATACATTTCCCTGACACCCAAAAGTACTCGTTACATTTTGAATGCTTAGCAGGACAGGAAAATTTGTCAAATTCACACAATTATCAAGAAAACATCCCCGGTCATCCCTACTGCCTCTGATCTGACAGTCTCACTAAACACATGCTTTGTTTGTAAATACTGTCTGAGTGTTGGAGCGTGCCCCTGGCTATCCGTAAAGTAAAATAAACAAGAAAATGATGCCATCTGGTTTGATTAATATAAGGAATTTGAAGTGATTTATACTTCTACTTTTGATACTTAAGTATATTTCAAACCAAATACTTTTAGACTTTTACTCAAGTAGTATTTTACTGGGTGACTTTCACTTGAGTCATTTTCTATCTTTACTTTCCCTCAAGTATGACAATTGGGTACTTTTTTCACCACTGTTGTTGACTGTTTTTGTGCTTGCCAGTTAGCTAGCAGTTCTCAGTTGTTAGCAGTCAATGGCTAGCCGTTTCTTACTGGTGATAAAAACAGATGATTGCCATACTTTTTTAGAGTCATTACGGAATTATTTCATGTAACAAATCAAACGTTAAACCTTGTAAACAATTTATGGTAATGTTGTACACAATTCATTTAGACCCGGTATTTATTTGAAACAGGCATGTACTTGCTGAGATGTGTGCCGTGCCCAGCTATTAAAAGGGACAGGCATCTATTTGAAACTGCGTTTAATTGATGTTTTACTTAATCACAGTCATGGAAATGCCAAAACACTCACTCTCACACACTTCAGTGGTCCTGTGTGGCTCAGTTGATAATCATTGCGTTGAAAGCACAATGCGCTGTGGGTTCAAATCCCGCTGGGGCCACCACCCATAGGAAAATGTACACACAAGTCGCTTTGCATCTGCCAAGTGCTATATATTACTCACTCAACGGCGCTCCTGTACACGTCGATGGCTTTGTCAGTGTCCCCTTCCAGCAGGTGAATCTTTCCCAGCATCATGTAGGTCAGGTCGTGCTTGCTTAACTCCAGGGCGATGTTCAACTGTTCTTCTGCCTGGCAGTACACACAAGCGCACAGCTTTTACTTTCATTCATGTACAATGTTGGTGTTTGAAACATTTTAACAATACTATACTAAACAAAAATATAAACACAACATACATCAATTTCAAAGATTTTACTGAGTTACAGTTCAAATAAGGAAATCAATCCATTGAAATAAATTAATTAGGCCCTAAATTAGGCCCTAAACATGAGTTGATGGCGGCGGATGAATGGCACGATAATGCGCCTCAGGATCTCGTCACACTATCTCTGTGCATTCAAATTTCCAATCGATAAAATGCATTTGCGTTCATTGTCCGTAGCTTATGCCTGCTCATACCATAATCCCACCGCCACCATGGGGCACTCTGTTCACATCAGTAAACCGCTCACCCACACAACACCATACACGTGGTCTGCGGTTGTGAAGCCGTTTGGACGTACTGCCAAATTCTTTAAAACGACGTTGGAGGTGGCTTATGGTAGAGAAATTAACATACAATTATCTGGTAACAGCTCTGGTGGACATTCCTGCAGTCAGCATGCCAATTGCTTGCTCCCTCAAAACTTGAGACATCTGTGGCATTGTGTTGCATGACAAAACTGCACATTTTAGAGTGGCCTTTTATTGTCCCCAGCACAAGGTGCACCTGTGTAATGATTATGCTGTTTAATCAGCTTCTTGATATGCCACACCTGTCAGGTGGATAGATTATCTTGGCAAAGGAGAAATGCTCACTAACAGGGTTGTAAACAAATTTGTGCAAAACATTTGAGAGAAATAAGCTTTTTGTGCGTATGGAACATTTCTGGGATCTTTCATTTCAGCTCATGAAACATGGGACCAACACTTTACATGTTGCATTTATATTTTTGTTCAGTGTATGTTCAAGAGGGACTAAAAGATGTAACTTACACGGTTGAAGTCTTTGGTATAGATGTAGCACACACCTAAGTTATGGCTGATCTCCTTCAAGTAGAGGGGTTGAAAAAGGGGCATTGAAAATGTGATAGTCAGTAAACTATATTTCTTATCTGGGGATCATAAATACGTAAAATGTGGAATAAAACTTTTCACAACTTGAAAAAAAACAACTAATCTTCACAAAGTAGTATATTTATAAACCAAAGTTACTTACCCAGTCTGTCTCATTGAGTTGTGAAGCCTCATTGTAAACCTCTATGGCAGCCTTATGCTTACCAAGGAGAAATCTAGAAAAGCAAAAATGAACAAAATGTATAAATTGCAAAATCATATGTACATACTTAAGGTTCAGACTTAGGAAAACAAGCAATTTTCCATGGATCAATAAGCGTTTAAAACATTTTTTTTATTCAGAAATAACTTGCGTGGCACAACACACGCAAAGGCAGCAAATATCTTAGCAAACAGCCTACTGAAGCTTGGAGCTTGAATGATAAAAGGCCCACATTTTTCTAAAAGTGTGCTACTCACAGGGATCTGGCCACTTGTTTGAGGTTATCCGAGCTGCCAGGGTTGAGTATTGCACAGCTCTGGAACAGGTCCAGTGACTGCTGGATTTTCCCTTCCAGGCGAAGGATTAAAGCTGAACAGAGAGAAACAGACAGACAGGCATCCCTTCATGCTGTGAGAATCTAACATTTGGTCATAGTTACACCTGACCTATTGTAATATACTTGTAACGATTGAACTGGTTCTATTCTGCTGGACAATCGCCATACCTTGTACATAGACGGCATATTCACACATCCCCCTGGTCTCTTGTAGCTGCTCTTTGATGATTGCCTGAATTAAAAAGAGGACAGAATGAAATTATACACTTTTAACGAATGCATGTACAGTGAGGGAAAAAAGTATTTGATCCCCTGCTGATTTTGTACGTTTGCCCACTGACAAAGAAATGATCAGTCTATCATTTTAACGGTAGGTTTATTTGAACAGTGAGAGACAGAATAACAAAAACAAAATCCAGAAAAACGCATGTCAAAAATGTTATAAATTGATTTGCATTTTAATGAGGGAAATAAGTATTTGACCCCATCTCAATCAGAAAGATTTCTGGCTCCCAGGTGTCTTTTATACAGGTAACGAGCTGAGATTAGGAGCACACTCTTAAAGGGAGTGCTCCTAATCTCAGTTTGTTACCTGTATAAAAGACACCTGGTCCACAGAAGCAATCAATGAATCAGATTCCAAACTCTCCACCATGGCCAAGACCAAAGAGCTCTCCAAGGATGTCAGGGACAAGATTGTAGATCTACACAAGGCTGGAATGGGCTACAAGACCATCGCCAAGCAGCTTGGTGAGAAGGTGACAACAGTTGGTGCGATTATTCGCAAATGGAAGAAACACAAAATAACTGTCAATCTCCCTCGGCCTGGGGCTCCATGCAAGATCTCACCTCGTGGAGACCATAGTCACCAAGAAAACAATTGGTAACACACTACGCCGTGAAGGACTGAAATCCTGCAGCGCCCTCAAGGTCCCCCTGCTCAAGAAAGCATATATACAGGCCCGTCTGAACATTGCCAATGAACATCTGAATGATTCAGAGGAGAACTGGGTGAAAGTGTTGTGGTCAGATGAGACCAAAATCGAGCTCTTTGGCATCAACTCAACTCGCCGTGTTTGGAGGAGGAGGAATGCTGCCTATGACCCCAAGAACACCATCTCCACCGTCAAACATGGAGGTGGAAACATTATGCTTTGGGGGTGTATTTCTGCTAAGGGGACAGGAAAACTTCACTGCATCAAAAGGACAATGGACCGTCAAATCTTGGGTGAGAACCTCCTTCCCTCAGCCGGGGCATTGAAAATGGGTCGTGGATGGGTATTTCAGCATGACAATGACCCAAAACACACGGCCAAGGCAATAAAGGAGTGGCTCAAGAAGAAGCACATTAAGGTCCTGGAGTGGCCTAGCCAGTCTCCAGACCTTAATCCCATAGAAAATCTGTGGAGGGAGTTGAAGGTTTGAGTTGCCAAACGTCAGGCTCGAAACCTTAATGACTTGGAGAAGATCTGCAAAGAGGAGTGGAACAAAATCCCTCCTGAGATGTGTGCAAACCTGGTGGCCAACTACAAGAAACGTCTGACCTCTGTGATCGCCAACAAGGGTTTTGCCACCAAGTACTAAGTAATGTTTTGCAGTGTGGTCAAATACTTATTTCCCTCATTGAAATGCAAATCAATTTATAACATTTTTGACATGTGTTTTTCTGGATTTTGTTGTTGTTATTCTGTCTCTCACTGTTCAAATAAACCTACCATTAAAATTATAGACTGATCATGTCTTTGTTAGTGGGCAAACGTACAAAATCAGCAGGGGATCAAATACTTTTTTCCCCTCACTGTACCTGTCCATTGTTTTACCATGACACTTTATATGCAGTGTTCGGGAAGCTACTGTGAAAATATAGTTACCAAGCTACCAATTACTTCACACTGGAAGAAGTTAAGCTACACTAAAGCTAACCTTAAAGGTCCAATGCAGCCATTTGTTTCTCAATATCAAATCATTTCTATGTAGCAATTATGTACCTTGTGATTGTTTTCAATTAAAATGGTCAAAAATAAACAAAAATAGCTTCTTAGCAAAGAGCATTTTCTCAAGCAAGAATTTTGCTTAGGACTGTCTGGGAGTGGTCTGAGCATAGAGATCCTATTAAATTACATAATTCAAGTATTACTGAATTAAGTATTTGAATTCCTAATTCTATGGGGTGGGGGAAATTATACAATAACTAGCTGTTAATGGCAGAGAGTTTGGAACTCTTTCTTACTGGTCTATTAACTCATTTACCACCTGGTGTAGTCACCAGGCAGGCCAAAACTTGGTCTTTTCAAACAGCTCTTACACTAAAATGGCATTATCATAATTTTCACAATTTCACAGTATTATTCTAACCTCATAGTGTGGGAAAACAGGAAAATCACGTTTTTGACTGCACTGGGCCTTTAAGAAAAATACAGTTTACTTAACTAAAGACACTTTGAAAGACACTGAAAAACTACTTTGTGGTAAATTATTTCTACATCTGAATGTCATAGAATACAAATTGCAAGAACAGATCACTCTGGAGTCAGATGTTAACAGAATGTTTAATTTAGCCTATTAAAACACAAAAACTATGTTTCAAGTGAGAATTAGGAAAGTCCGATGTCAAAAACTAAAGGAAATTCTTACCTACTTCATCCATATTTAATTTTTGCAAAAAAACTAGTGAGTAGTTCCAGTAGTTAGCTACACTGCTACATGGCAAAAAATTAATGAACTACTAAAAACACTACCCATATCTGAATTTAGTTCAACTACCACCAAGCTACTGCAAAATGTAGTTAAATTACTAGTTTGGTATTTGGTATTTTATTAGGATCCCCATTAGCTGTTGCAAAAGCAGCAGCTACTCTTCCTGGGGTCCACACAAAACATGACATTATACAGAACATGAATAGACAAGAACAGCTCAAGGACAGAACTACATAAAACATTTTTTTAAAGGCACACGTAGCCTACATATCAATACATACACACAAACTATCTACGTCAAATAGGGGAGAGGCGTTGTGCCGTGAGGTGTTGCTTTATCTGTTTTTTTTAAACTAGGTTTGCTGTTTATTTGAGAAATATGAGATGGAACGGAGTCCCAATAAATATTGGCTCTATATAATACTGTACGCTTTCTTGAATTTGTTCTGGATTTGGGGACTGTGAAAAGACCCCTGGTGGCATGTCTGGTGGGGTAAGTGTGTGTCAGAGCTGTGTGTAAGTTGACTATGCAAACAATTTGGGATTTTCAACACATTAATGTTTCTTATAAAAATAATAAGTGATGCAGTCAGTCTCTCCTCAACTCTTAGCCAAGAGTGACTGGCATGCATAGTATTTATATCAGCCCTCTGATTACAATGAAGAGCAAGACGTGCCGCTCTGTTCTGGGCCAGCTGCAGCTTAACTAGGTATTTTCTTGTAGCACTACACCCCATGACTGGACAATAATCAAGATTAGACAAAACTAGAGCGTGCAGAACTTGCTTTTTGGAGTGTGGTGTCAAAAAAGCAGAGCATCTCTTTATTACGGACGGACCTCTCCCAATCTTTACAACCATTAAATCTATATGTTTTGACCATGATAGTTTACAATCTAAGGTAACGCCAAGTAATTTAGTCTCCTCAACTTGTTCAACAGCCACACCATTCATTACCAGATTCAGCTGAGGTCTAGAATTTAGGGAATGATTTGTACCAAATACAATGCCAGTTTAAGTACATGTAGTACCCTACTCCCCAACACCGTTTATATGACACTTTTTCTCTCAGAGACCGAACAAACAGATCCTCCTACCTTACAGGTCTCATAGTCTTTACGGATGTAGTGAAGGTGGATGAGCCAGTTTCGTCTCTCCAGAATAGGGAGCTCAGGAGCTGCATAGACATAAAAGGCAGATAAAACTCATCAGTGGTGTAAATTACTTAAGTATAAATACTTGAAAGTACTACTTAAGTAGTTTTTCGGGGTCTGTACTTTACTTTACTATTTATATTTTTGACAACTTTTACTTTACTACATTCCTAAAGAAAATGATGTACTTTTTACTCCATACATTTTCCCTGACACCCAAAAGTACTCGTTACATTTTGAATGCTTAGCAGGACAGGAAAATTGTATAATTCACATACTTATCAAGAGAACATACCTGGTCATCCCTACTGCCACTGATCTGGCAGACTCACTAAACAGATGCTTCGTTTGTAAATTATGTTTGAGTGTTGGAGCATGCCTCTAGCTATCCGTAAGTAAATAAAAAAAACTCGAAAATGGTGCCGTCTGGTTTGCTTAGTATAAGGAATTTGAAATGATTTATACTTTTACTTTTGATACTTAAGTATATTTAAAACCAAATACTTTTAATCAAGTAGGATTTTACTGGGTGACCTTCACTTTTACTTTACTTTTACTCAAGTACTTTTTCCACCATTGAAACTCACCAAGACCTATCTAAAGTATGTCATATTTCCAGTAATTTCAATTAATGAAAATGCTGCTTGATTTTGAAGAATATTACTTATAAATAGCTTAGAGGTGCAATCTGCAATAGTTACTGCCGTTCATTTAAATTAATGATATACCAATTGATTCTTGAAGAATATAACTTATAAATAACTCAGGAGCTTTGAACAACTGTCTTAATGGCCCCATGCAGTCAAAAATATGATTTACTTGTGTTTTATGTATATTTTCACACTATGAAGATGGAATAAAACTGAAATTGTGAAAATGATAATGCCCTTTTCGCGTAAGAGCTGTTTGAAAAGACTGCCTGAAATGTCATCCTGTTTTGGTGGGTTGGAGTTTTGGCCTTTCCATGGTGATATCACCAGGCGGTAAATTAGCTGCCAATAACAGCTAGTTTTCCCCTCCCGACTCAGACCACTCCAAACATTCAGCAAAATTCTTGCTTGAGAAATTGCTCTTTTCTAAGAAGCTATTTGAGTTAATTTTTGACCATTTTAAATTGAAAATCACAGTAAGGTACTTAATTATTACCCAGAAATGATTTGATATTGAGATAAAAAAGCTGCATTGGCCCTTTAAGCCACCATAACTCTAAATAAAAAGTTGTTTCACCCCACAGTTTGAAAACAATGTATGTTTATAAAGTTATTTCCGGGACACCAAAAGCATTAAGGAAGCAAAGTTAATTGACCAACACAGCCTTAGCTACCAAATCTGGTTTAGCTAAAGCTGATCTATTTTGGTCTAATCCTCTTCAAAGGGAAATTAACCTGCTCAATAATGACACCCGGTGGACAAAAAGAGACCTAGTCAAAAACATGTGTTTCTCATGCATGCAAACAATATATATCTTTACTAAACCTTTAGTATAGATTAAATATACACACGAAGTAGTCACCTGTAATGTTTGTATTCAGTGCAATGCAAATTGGACAGCCTGAATAAAATCTGTGTAATTGAATAGCGGCAGCTACAGCTCAAATCATAGCTGTAGGCCTACATACTTCAGAAAATAAATGGAAAATGGCTACTGTAGAACTGTTTACATCAAAGAACATGTCTCGGGAAAATGGAATGCTTGGTAAGATAGTTCTTTAAACTTTCAAGCCCAATGTTGTACATTTCTCTCAGTGTAAAATAGTTAGCATATTTGTCAGTAATGTCAATCTAGGAGGCTTCAATATGGGTTTGAACCACAAACCTTTTTTAGGACGAGGCTTCCTGATTTCAGAAGTGGGAGGAAGTTGAACATCCTGGGAAAGACACGCACAAACCATGCATCGCAAAACGCATCATCATCACATTATTTGCTCTATACTGAAAGTTGTCCATCTTCATAACTGGACTGTTGAAATGCACATTTTGGGGGGGGATTGTATGAACAGTGGACTAATGAACAAAATACTAAAATATAGCTTGAGTGAACTATCCCTTTAACCTGCAGATAATACAAAATAATTAAGTATTTAGTATTTTAGCCCATGCCACTTCGAACTAATCTCAGTACTGGAGGGAGGAAATGGAATTGTGTCTTTCAGTCAAAGTAACAAAATTACATCTAAAACAAAGTCATAGGCCAACTGTCAGACTCAGAGTAAATCAAGATTGTTACTTCAGCATTCCTGACGCAAGGCTACTTTATACCTCTTTCAGAATGACACAAGTGCAATATGGGTTAATTTACAGTAGTATTCATATTGACACAAATGAAATGACTGACATGCAGTGTTGCTGTTTAGTTGCAGCAGAGGCAAAATAGAGCTTCAATGGCATAATAGATGCAATCAATGACAAGTAATCTGTACAAGCCTCAACAAATCTAACTGATGATTAAATAAAATCAGTATGCATTGCATATTTTATTTATTCAACCTTTATTTAGCCAGAGAAGTGATTGAGAACTAAGTCTACAAAGAAGAGGTGCGCAAACAGAGATGACATAAGTGTACATAAGACACCATTTGTTATTTAAGCCTACAATATTTATCTGAAAAACATTATTTTTGTAGGCTACATGTGGAGCAGGGGGACGCATCTCGAGGTAGGACGCATCATCTCGATAAAACACGCACCTTTATGAGTCTTGGAAGGCAAGTCAAACTCGCTCACAGGTAATGCTGGAATACTGGATATACTGCTCTATTCGCTAAATAGATACAGCATAAAACACAACTAAATGCAAATGTGCAATGACAATGTCAATTTGTTAAAATGTTCTAATTAAACGGCTTACCGCCACGGGATTGTCGTCTGCCATGTTACCTTCTATGGTCGGCTTCGTCTTCTTCTTCTTCTTCGTCTTCAGTGGGGGTTTATCGGCGGTTGGCATCCAACGTTTTGATGCATTACCGCCACCTACTGTACTGGAGTGTGGGCCAGAGACAGGGAGAAACAAAATCCTACCTGCCAGCCCCGTTGCTCTTAAAAAAGATAACAAAATATTTGAGACTATGTCTAATGACGTTCTACTCAATATACTCTTTAAACTAATTTCCTGTATCCCCTTCTCCCTCATACTAAATCTCATCCTCTCTCTTTCCCTCTGATACTGCCCATACTGTAGCAATACATGCTCCACGGTCTCTGTTTCCTGACAATAATCACACTGGCTGTGTCCCACCCTTAATCTTGTAAAAATAGCCTCCTCTCTTCTGTCCCTTCCTGCCGTCCTCCCCTCCCCGACGTTCCTCTGTACTTGAAATAAATGTTTTCCCTTATTACAGTGGCTTGCGAAAGTATTCACCCCCCTTGGCATTTTTCCTATTTTGTTGCCTTACAATCTGGAATTAAAATTGATATTTGGGGGGTTTGTATCATTTGATTTACATAACATGCCTGCCACTTTGAAGATGCAATTTTTGTTGTTGTTGTGTGAAATAAACAAGAAATAAGGCCAAAAAAACAGAAAACTTGAGCGTGCATAACTATTCCTCTGCCTTGCTCATTGAAACTTCAACATCAACATCCCCACTACTAAGTGCTTGTTTAGCCAGTTCATCTACTGCCTCGTTCCCCTCCACCCCCACATGGGCTGGGACCCAAGTAAATCTTATCTGTATACCCATCTGTTTAATCCTGCGATGGGTTTGTAGCACCTCATAAAGCAGGTCTTGTCTGCTATGTGAGCTAAAGGACTGGAGACTCATTAACACTGCACATGAATCAGAGCAAATAACTACTCTATCTTGTTTGACTTCCTCGACCAACTGCAAGGCCAACAATATGGCCATCAGCTCCGCCGTATATACAGCCAGATGATCTGTAATACGTTTCCTGACTTCCACCCCACATTCCTGCACTACAAATGCTGACCCAGAACGTCCTGTCCTTGGATCTTTTGAACCATCTGTGTAAATGGCCACAAAATCCTGATACACAGTATCCAGTTGTATCTTAAACAAATCAGATGGATCAACACCCTCCCTATCTTTCTGTAGTCTCTTCAACACTTCTAGATCAACTACTGGAGGCGGGAGTAGCCATGGTGGATTTACAGGGATAGCTACCGTTGGACTAAACTCCCTTCCATACAGTCCCATCTCCTTCGCCTGGGTATTTATGGTCGGCTTCTTCTTATTCTTCTTCTTTTATAATATTATGGCGGTCCGCAAACTAACGTTATACGTTCATGCCGCCACCTACTGTACTGAAGTGTGAAGTCAATCCCAGTTTACAGAGTAAATTCATAAAGAAGCAAATATTAAGAGAAACTCTCCTATCTAATAATGTACTACTAATAAAATAAGAAAGAGCCCTACTAACTTCTAACAAACAATTCTTTGGAGGGCATATAAATGCCGGCCCTTGGGCTCTGAGTCCCACCTCTTCCGCCACACATCTATCATAATGGCTCTAATCTCACATTTGTCTTCACCTCTACCCAATGGAGCACGTATATCAATTATACTACGCCTTCAGAAAGTATTCATACTCCTTGACTTATTCCACATTTTGTTGTGTTACAGTCTGAATTCAAAATGGAGTAAATATATATATTTTGTCACCCATCTACATGCAATACCCCATTATGACAAAGTGAAAACATATTTTTAGAAATGTAGAAAATGTATTGAAAATTAAAAACAGAAATATCTCATTTACATAGGTATTCACACCCCTGAGTCAATACATGTTAGAATCACCTTTGGTAGCGATTACAGCTGTGAGTCCTTCTGGGTAAGTCTCTCAGAGCTTTGCACACCTGGATTGTACAATATTTGCACATCATTCTTTAAAAAACTCTTCAATCTCTGTCAAGTTGGTTGTTAATCGTCGCTAGACAGCCATTTTCAAGTCTTTCCATAGATTATCAAGCCAGTTTAAGTCAAAACTGTAACTAGATGACTCAGGAACATTCAATGTCGTCTTGTGTTTTAGGTTATTGTCCTGCTAAAAGGTGAATTTATCTCCCAGAGTCTGTTGAAGCAGACTGAACCAGGTTTTCCTCTAGGATTTTGCCTGTGCTTTGCTCTATTCCGTTTCCTTGTTTGTTATGTTGTTATGTTTTGGAATAGTTTTATTCTGTACAGACTTCCTTCTTTTCATTCTGTCATTTAGGTTAGTATTGTGGAGTAACTACAATGTTGATTTTTCCTATCACAGCCATTCAACTCTGTAACTGTTTTAATCCTTAAGAGTCTATTGACGCAACCCATGCGTCAATCTAAGTATCATAATAAATATAAAATCCCCATCAAAATCAATCAGTTTAAGCTGGAGATATCTGTATTTGCATGGGCTGCGTCTCAATCCGCCACATCCGCCTATGTCAGCCTTCCGCATCTGCGGTGGAAGGTGGCCGAGCTACAGTGATGTTTGTCAGACCATGAGACATCCCAAAAACCTTGTCACAAAAACATCTGTAGCGTCCGAACGGTTTGCCCTACGGGACTCATCTGAAGTTAACCCATACAAATTAATGAAAGTATGGTGGTAGTTTTGTACCAACAAAAATAAGGGGTTAAATATGTGCAACAAAATTATAAATGGCTAAACAGACAGTCAAAAAATTAATCATAAGGAATAAGGTTTTGAAGTGTCTGTCCTATATCTAGGAGATATAAGAAAGCTCAGGAAATATTTGTTGATTGTGTTATTCAATGCGTTTCTATGGGCTACAGTAGTAAAGGCCAAATTCTATATTTTATCAAATCATTTTTACATATTTGTTGTGGAAAATTATGAAAACACAGAGAGAGACGAAAGAGAAATAATTCAATTTTTATGTTTTTATTGGTCAAATGGCAACCTGATACAGACAGGGAATCTAAGCATACTACATTTCTGACCGTTTGAGCGTCCTCCACCCACTGGAGAGCAGCTACTATCGCCAACAGTATACTGACAGTTCATCTGTAAGTCTTTGACATACCTCCACATCAAATTCAGGAATGTAAACGCCTGCTCCTGTACGTCCACTATCTCGGTCCTTGGAGCCATCTGTAGAAATAGATAAAAAACGATAAAAGCTTCTACCAATGTAATTGTCAACCAGTTCCCCTATGTCACTCACTTCTGACCAATCTTTTCTTTGTTTCTACCAAGGTTAGATCAAAAGCAGGATCCGGGAGTAAACATGGAGGAACATCCCCTATCACCACAGAAGGGCCAACCTCCAACTCCCTCAAACCACTCTCCTCAGCAAGCATTCCAACTTTCCATCCACAGCCACTGCCTTGTCTACTAGTATATTCCCAACAATCATCTAGATAAATAACAGTGGGATGATTAACCTTACAGCCTTTCAGTAGCAACGGTCATCCATTTTTTGGGGGGGTTTTAAAAACAATTATAATAAATGCAACAGCACTACTGGGTGATCTGAAAGTCATAGTCAATCGATCAATAATATAATAATACTTTTAGCAAAAAATAAATATTTTCAATTTACGATCTGTAGAAACAATGAGAATAGAAAGGTTCAGAACTTTTGTAAAACATCACAGTACAGTTGAAAACTATATGGCAAATAGAAATCCAATATGGATGGTGTTAAGAGATAGATGGGAGGTGTTGAATGGAGCTGAAGGATGGGACTAATAAAAACAACTATTAACAACAAGATAACTAATGTAAAGCATACTGTGTCCATAATAAGTATATAGGTTATAGGTTGAGAGTTTTTGTGAAAGAGCACAGTTAGAAAAATATGGCATATAGAAACAAAACCAGATGGACATCATGAAAATGATCGGAGGAAGTTCAGGAGTAAAAACAATTGGGGAAGGGGTGGTGCTTGTTATCATGCTTGTTAA